CCGCGGACCACCGCGCTCAACATGTAAGATTCCGCCGATCACCGCGCTCAACATGCAGGACTTCGCGGACCACCGCGCTCAGCATGTAGGATTCCGCGGACCACCGCGCTCAACATGTGGGATTCCGCGGACCACCCCGCTCAACATGTAAGATTCCGCCGACCACCGCGCTCAACATGTAGGACACAATTAACAACACATACAATATTCCACCAAGGGACACTCAGCTCCAAGTCCATCTGATATGTCGCCTCAGTCATCGAATCTCTCTCTCTCTCTCTCTCGCTGTTCGGGTTTGTAGCGTTTAATGGTTTGAGGGTTGAAGAGTTGAAGGGTTTAAGGTTTAAGGGTAAGGGTCTAGGGTATTAGGGGTTTAGGCTTTGGGGTTTGGGGTTTAGGTTTTCTCTCTGTCTTCCTTCCGCTCTCCCAGGACCTTGCAAAGCTAAGACCATTGCTCTTAGGGCTTAGGCTTTCTAGTCCTTGGCAAGCATCAATCCGAGATGGGTGGAGTGTCACGAAGTGCCTCGTTTCCGGATGCCTTCAAAGCGACGAACCCTTTAGCTGCGACTGCCTCTTCAGATCACGCCCCAACGCCTAAAGCTACATACTCCATGGAGCTTCCCAAAACTACCCCACAACTCCAACTTGTCTACACTGAGTCTACACCTGCCAACAGCGAGCGTAGCAAGTCTCCAGCCACAGAAATCCCAACACTCCCAAATCCCGAGACATGAGATAGGAACAACACCCAACATGAGATAGGAACAACACCCGAAGCACCACCGAAGCGATTTGGATCTTTAAGATGTTGGGGTTTTGGTTATACCTCTTATACTTGTGGCTCACAATACGCAAAAACATACACCTAGTAGGGAGCACTTTTACGTTTCGGGCCCTGGGAGATAAGGCAATCCTAAATCCTAGAGGATTCGTCCGGGCTCCACGCCAGTTCCAATCGAACCACCTCGTCCTGAATTTTTGGAGGATTCAACCGAGTGGCTGTTCAGTCTGCACATACGTAAGAACCTATACATGCCTTCTTGCATTCTACAACCACGGCTGTATGCGAATAAGCATGCATGTACACAGATGAACTGGTGGGTCGTACACGCGACTTCTATGTACACTTACATGTGTTTTGTGTCTGGGTATGTGTATATATATATATAGAGAGAGAGAGAGACGCGAGCAAGCATATGCGGATTCTGCATACTCATGATTATACACATATTATATATTTTATATATATATATATATATGTATACACATGTACAAACGTATGTGTATATATGGTCCCGTGTCGCGTGTCGGTACCACCTATACCTACATATATATATATATACACACACACACACGTACATACATTACCTTACATTACATTACATTACATTACATTACATTACATTACATTACATTACAGTACATTACAGTACATTATGACATTACAGTACATTACAGTACATTACAGTACATTACAGTACATTACATTACATTACATTACATTACATTACATTACATTACATTACATTACATTACATTACATTACACATTACACATTACACACACTCCGCAAGTATCTCTGCTTGCTTCTCCGGCAAGGCTCTCCAAAGACATGTTGCGCCATCGCATCTGGTGTTATATATGTATACATACCTGCATGTATGCATGATATGTATGGTATGTATGTACGGTATGTCTGTATGTATGTATGTATGTATGTATGTATGTATGTATGTGTGTATGTATGTATGTATGTATGTATGTATGTATGTATGTATGTATGTATGTATGTATGCCTGTCTGTCTGTGCCTGTCTGTCTGCATGTATGTATGTATGTGTGTTGTGTATGGTCTGTATGGTATGTAAGTGCATACGTACATACATTTACTACCCTGTCAGGATGCGGACTCGTGTCCCAGTCTGCACCGGGGTGGTAGGCACTGCCTGTCATCACCGTCCAGATGCGGATCAAAGACCGCATGGACATCACCTTGCTGTATTGGACTTAGGATTTCGAATCTTAGGTACTTGGGTGATCTTGGGCGTCTTAGGGGTCTTAGGGCTTGAGGCCTGAAAGCTTTGAGGATTGAGGCTCTTGTGGTTTATACTATATGATAATGCAATGTAATACTATATAATATAGTATACCCTAAACCCTAAACCCTAAACCCAAAACCCTAAACCTTTAATGAGGGTTTGGGCTTTCGGGGGTTTTAAAGCTTCAGCTCACGAGCCTCTTGCTAAGGCTTTCGGATGTCGAGGCCAGAACCTGCACTGACCCGATTCCCGCAACTGGAGGCCCAAAGACCAACATCCGAACCCCCAGTAATCAGGTTTAGGGTTTAGGGTTTAGGGTTGATCCACAAAAGCTCTAAAGCCCCTAGTGCATAATGTAGGGGCCGTAATAATTTGAATAGGGTTTTGCGGGTTCCTTATTATAACTATAGTATACAAAAGCCCAAAACCCTATCCTAATTATTCAGGCCCCTATATTACCTTGGTACCATCGAAAACAACTGCATGACAGAGCTCCTTGCAAGGGATGGCCATCACAGATGACTCAGAGAACAACCCTGCGTAATGTAGAGGCCTTAATAATTAGAACAGGGCTTTGGGGGTTTATTTTTAGTTATAGTATAATATACCCCCAAACCCTATTCTAATTATTAAGGCCCCTATATTAAGGGGGAGAGCGAGGACGGCAAAAAAGAGCTACTACAGAACGCCCAAGAGCAACCCCACCTTCGACTCTTCGGCCCCTTGCAAGAATGGTGGTTTGGAAAACTTGCAGGTGTGCTCACAACTCTACTTGGAGGTTCATGGGTAGTTATAAGTAGGGGAACTATATAACCTATATTATGGGACTTATAGCTCCACTTATAACTACCCATGAACCTCCAAGCACAAGGAGGACTCGCTTGAGGAACCTCGAGCTAGAAGCCAAAACCCTTCAAAGCGGCCTTAACTTAAACCGCCCCACAGCTGCCGCCCGGGCCGCAATGAAAATCAGAGGGGTGCCAAGGATGATGATAACCTGGGCCACTGAGAAGGAAGGAGCCTCAAGGGTGCCTGCGTGAGTCCTGATCTTCATAACAATGGGGCCTTGACAATTCGAGCAGGGCGTTGGGTGAGATTAGGAATTCGTATGATTGTAACAAGAAGTCTTCGGGAAGGCTTTCCAGCCCAGAGACTCAGCAACGAGCCAAATTCTTCCTTGAGATCCCTGCACGGTACAGCGCTGTAGTGGAGTGGCGGGACCAGGTCTCAAAAACTTGTACCAGGTCTTTTGGAGCAGAAAGTTGAGCAAGCCCTGCTGCAAGGTTCAGGATACGTAGTTCCGGGCTCGGATAGCCCATGATGCCCACTCAAAGCTACTTCCAAGTCAGACTCAGACAAAAGTTCGGATTTACGGTTAGGCTCTAAGTAGATTTAGGGTTTGGGATTTAGGGTGGCACATCGCGTTGTGCTCACTACACACCCAAAACTTCAGGTTCAGCCAACCTGGAGACCTAACCCCCAAAGGCCCTAAACCCGAAACCCCTAAACCCTAAACCCCTGAACCCGAAACCCCTAAACCCCGAAACCCTGAACCTCCAAAGGCCCTAAAGCCGAAACCCCTAAAACCCTCCTGCACCTGGCCCCCTCCGCGACGAGACACCCACTCCAATCGCGGAGCCAACTTCCAGGGAGTGGCGTCTGCCTCCATGGCCTCCAGCCGGACGTCCTCCAGGCTTTGGCCAGGTCTTTAAGGGGGTTTAAGGGTTTTGGGATTTAGGGGTTTAGGGGTGTAGGGTTTAGGGGTTTAGGGGTTTAGGGATTTAGGGTTTGGGGTTTAGGGGTTTGGGGTTTCGGGTTTCGGGTTTAGGGTTTAGGGGGCTTGGGGCTCGGGATGTCCTGGAGTCTGCTAAACTATTCGGTACTACGTTTTTTTTCCCCCGTCCCCCGCCGCTTCCCTTGTCTCTTCCTTGCGGCGAGGCAAGGCGGGCTAGCTTACATCATTCGTGAAGCTGATGCCAAAGCCTGGGAATCCTGGGGCTGTGTCTTGTACTTCATTGCAAAGCTTGATTCCCCTTCCAACATCTGGGAGGCTGTATACGAGACCAGTCAGAAGTGCGATATGATTATTGTAGTCACGTCTATGGGATAATGCAGGGAATGTGCCACCTGTCGCGGGGGATTATTGCTCAGAGCCTCTGCATGAAAACAAACACTGACATTAAAAACAGGTTTAGGGTTTAGGGTTTAGGGTTTAGGGTTTAGGGTTTAGGGTTCCATCGTGAAGCAAATGCTCATTCTCTCAATACCTCACCTGTGTGACCTACCCGTTGCTTTCCGAAACATTGCACCTGGTTCAAGTACAGCCGGGCCGAAGCCGACGACGCGAAGCTTTTAAACATTATCACATATTTGACCATCTAAAGCACACTCCCGACAAGGACACTGGCTTCGCTCATAGCAGCAGCCTTCCCTGGTAGAAGTTGGATACCCTTACACCCAAGCACTAAAGCTAAAGCACCGAAAACCTTGCCCTCTAAACCTCAACCCTAAAACCTAAGAGGTATTCGGGAAATTCAAAAGGTTGTAACCTTTAGCCCCACAATAGAAACGGGCTAAAAAGCGGCTGCGACGGAATTAGGCGAGACCTCCGAGATTGTGAGGTTGTGATCGTAAGCACTCGAGACTTTAACAAACCTCCAGCTCCATAGCCTAAACCCTAAATCCTAATCCCAGAATCCTGAAACCTATGTAAGCCCCAAAACCCCGCAGCCTAGCGCCGGGAATCTTCCCATCTGCCGAAATGACCGTTGAGGGAATCCTATCGAATGAGCACCGAAAGCCTATACCAAAGCATGGGACCAAAGAACCTACATCATTTGAGGTGTCGTGATACGAAACCACATGGGTCCCCTGAGAAATGCAGCTGCCGTTTAATCCCAATGACTTGCTGAGGTACCCTGTAACCTGCCAAAACACGCTTCATGAAGCCCTAAGCTCCATCGAACGCTAGACCTGAAAGAAACCCCAAATCAACCGCTACTTTTAACTTCCCCGAAGACCTTCAAAGGCAGAAAAAGGGGGTCCCAAGGCCTGATTGGTGCCCTGCGCCACGGTGCGATTCAGCTCGACAAAACCTCGCAAGGCTTGGCTTTCAGGGTTTGGGGTTTGGGGTTTAGGGTTTAGGGCTTCACCCTGAACTTTCCTCAACCCTGGACCCTAAATTCACTGAGTCAACCAACGAGGACAGCTTCGAGTTTGCTGTCCATGTCTGATGGATTGCGCAGTCTTGCAGTGGCCCTGGCTCATCATAAACAGCCTTGAGTGATTTGAATAGTGTCCCTAAACCCTAAACCCTAAACCCTAAACCCTAAACCGGGTCGGTGGTGTATTACAATGGAGCTACATAGGGGCTATCAGGCGCTTCTTTCCTGCAGGCGCTTGACAAGCTTTACTGGCAAAGCCAAGGCGTCTCTGCGGCCGTGTAAGAGTACACTATAATATGGCACAGCATGTTATATTATGGTATACGAATTTATAGTATATTGTATCATAGTATACTATATTATTATATTATAGTATGTCATCGTATAGTATACCCTATACCCTAAACCCTACACCCTAAACCCTAAACCCGAAACCCTAAACCCAATATAGTCAGGCAGCTCCAAAGGAGCTTTGCGAGGACCACGAAGCCCAGGATGCCAAAGACCTCGGATCGGCATCGGGCTTTTTTGATTTAGGGTTTAGGGTTTAGGGTTTAGGGTTTAGGGTTTAGGGTTAGGTATAGGGCTTTGGGTGAGGAATGGTTGGTGACGACTTAGGACGAGGTTTTGATTGAAAAACAAAGTAGGATAGTGAGACTTAACAATGATTGTTAGAAGTGCGTCAGAAACGTTGGCACACAATGCTGACAGCCCAAACTCGAAAGCCATCAACCCTAATGCAAGGCGAGCGAGACAAGACGTCGTCGTCCTTGTCGTCGTCTTCCTGAGCCCTGCTTGGTATGGCATCAAGCTTGCAAAAAAAATGTGAACAGCCGAAATATGAAGCGAGAGTTCGAACTGAGCACATGCATCATTGATGATTGGTCTCATCATACGATTTTCATGAGCTCAGTCATCAGAAGCATCTGACCAGCATGATCCGGCACAGCCACGAAAGCAAAGGAGAAAGCAGCAGCGGAACGTCATGGGGTCGTTTCGTCGAGCCGTCTTGTTCACAACATACCCGAGACAATTCACACATCATGGGCAGTAATGCAGAACCACAGGAAAACATACAGGGCGCAATCATTCTGGCATGGGAACAACTAGCATAAACAGACGGAGCAAGGACTCATCACAGCCACCCACCTATGTACAGGGTTTAGCAGGTTAGGCTCTTTTGGGGGGGCTCTCCAAAACAGGGATCAATCATTCCTCGCCACGGCCACCCGCCTCTGCACAGGGTTTAGTGGCTTAGTGTTTCTTGGGGGTCCCCTAAACCCTAAACCCTAAACCCTAAACCCACCACAAATAGCTTTCGGCAGGTGTTGCAACTGCTGCCTCTTCGACTCATGTCTACAGTGTGAAGCCCCAGATCTTCAAGCCTCAGACCTGACCCCAAAGCCCTGAAGCCCCCTCCATGCATGAGCAGTACAACCCGCATTGCAGCAGAAGGTGGAAAGAAACATCTTGGCCACTAGGGCAGTGTAACGGCTATACTACACCCCGCGCGAGTATCATGGCATTGACCGTCTTCGTAGCGTTCGCAGAAAAGAGCGAAGTGGGTAGTTCTCTAAATTAGGGTCCCTTTTTAGGTCCCCAATATAGTACGGCACCCTTATAAAAAGGACCCCAAAAGGGACCCTAATTTTGAAAACTACCCAAGTGTTCTGAACAGCATTTGTGATCCCAGCTGCAGGGGCCAGCAAGGAGCCAGCATGCAGCCACGGAGGAATCTTCAGCTCGTCCCTGCACGCAGACGTCTCGCACCACTTCGGGCTTTAGGGCGGGGTTTCGGGCTGGGGGTTTTGGGTTTGGGGCTCAGAGTTTGGGGCCCTCCACGCCAATTGCGCCTCAATGCTTCCGGGGTGGTTCTGCGAGCTCATCCTGCAGCGGATAACTCTGAATCCTGAACCCCTACACCCCACAACCTGCAACGTCCTACAACCCTTAAACCCCAAAGCCCCAGACCAGAGAGCCCTCTTGCCAGCCTCAGGCTCTGGCACGCTGCGCTGTCAGCACTGGACTTCAGAAAGCCCTCACAGATGGTACTGATCTTCCCGTCGACTTTCTCCTTCGGGCCAGGCCAAGCAAGACAGAAAGCCAAGGAATTTACATTATGAACACCTTGTGTTATCTTACTGCTAACTTGTCTGACAATTCCGCAAAAACTGCGAGACGCGCTGTAGCACCCAGATGAGGTCTCACTCTTACCTGATGACGATGATGATGATGATGAGACTATGATGTGATAATCATAAGGACCCTTAAGGGGTAGGGGGAGGTGGGGGGGCCTTAATACCTGTAACAAGGACCAAGTAAGGCCTATTTAAGGAAATAGTCCCCCACCCCCCTCCCCCTTCCCCCCAAGGGACCCTATGACGATGATGATAATGATGATGATGATGATGACGACGACGACGACGACGATGACGATAGTGAGGCCGGTTGGGGTGGTGAGGGTAGTGGAACACGACGCAGAAGGTGAGGAATACTATAAAAGAAGTGCTAGTAACAGTGCTAGTCGTCATCGTTGTCGTCGGCGTCGCGCTAGTCGCTGTTGTGGTCGTCGTCCTCGTCGTGGTCATGATCGCGGTCGCCGAAGCAGGGGTAGTAGTAGCGGGTCGTCGCGGTAGTCGCTGTTGTGGTCGTCGTCCTCGTCGTGGTCATGATCGCAGTCGCCGAAGCAGGGGTAGTAGTAGCGGGTCGTGGCGGTAGTCGCTGCTGTGGTCGTCGTGTTTGTCGTGGTCATGATCGCGGTCGCCGAAGCAGGGGTAGTAGCGAAAGTAGCGCAGGAGAAGCAGTAGTAGATGCTAGTAGTAGTAGTAGTAGTAGTAGTAGTAGTAGTAGTAGTAGTGGTAGTAGTAGTAGTCGTCGTAGTAGTAGTAGTAGTAGTCAAACTGCTATCCAGCTGAGCAACGGTATTCAAGAACCTGTAACCGATGTAGTCGTACTTGATGATGTCCCACATAGTCCTGGCCTGGCCCGGCATTGATCTTCTGAGGACTCTGGATTTGAGTTTGTCAAGATCTCGAAAATTTTAGCAGTGACCATTACAGGCGTGTTCGGGGTCTACCATGTAACCTCAGCTGCGTCTTTTCGGTTCCAAACTCTGGGCAAAGTCTCCCGCACTCCTGCACGGATACAGTAGTTGCTGCCAGCCTCGCCTCAACTTCATCTGATCCCTTTATGCCCCTTCCTTTAACCCTAAACCCCAAACCATCTCCTGCTTTCCCGTGAGAAGCGAATTCGAGACGTATCGAAGTTTGGGAGTGCCGGGGTCCGGGACTTAGCAGATTCACCCTTTCAGAAGTTCGCCTTTGAGGCTGGGCTTACCTCGGCTTCTTGTCTTGTTTGCAGCCAAGTCCAAATCAAGGGATGCACCTCTCTCCTCTCAACCCTTATCCCTCAAACCCTAAGCATCACAGCACATTTCAAAGCGGCGTACACTGACCCTGCACCTGGGGCTTTGCCAGGGCCAAGGGCTTCACAATCGTCTTTCCGGTCGACAGTCATTTCAGAAGCGGGTTTGCGGCTTGTGGCCTATGCAGTCGAGCTTTACTGCTCCAAGGGCGTGGGGCTCAATCCTTTCCATCTGAGAAGGGAATGACGGTCAGGATATGGGGTAGATTCTACTATAACTATGATAAGGAACCCCCTAAAAAAGTATAGGTAATTATTCAGGCCCCTATATGTAACCTCCAGCAAGGGTAAGAAAACTCCCAGTTCGGACGGCTCTGGGCCCCTCTGCGGTGTCACGATCTCCCTTTCAACTTCCTTTCCCCGAGGCCATCTTTCAAATCAAAGAACCGGTGTTCAAGACCGTGTAGCTGTAGTCGCAGTAATGGCAGTAGCAGTGGTAGAAAGAGTTGAAGTAGAGTAGCGGCAGCAGCAGCAGTAGTCGTCATCGACGAGCAGTCGTCATCTCCGTAGTAGTAGCGGTAGTAGTCGTCGTCGCCGACGTCGTCGACGTCGTCGTAGTAGTCATTGTAATAGTCGTAGTGGCAGTGGCAGCGGCAAGGGCGGTTGTAGCGGTCGGTGATAATGCTGGTGGTAGTGGCGGTGTTCATACATGGGGGTTTCCGAAAATAGGGGACCCTAATATAGTACCCTAAATTGTAGGATCCTTATTATAAGGACCCCCAAATAAGGTACCCCTAATTTTCGGAAACTCCCACATTAGTTGCAGGGTTCTACAGCTCAACTGACCGGTTAGGCCTGGAGCCTTTGAGGCCTCAGGTTCAGGCCTAAGGCTTTGGAGTTATGTACAGGCTTGAGGTCTCAGCCTTGTGCTTTCCATACAAACCCTCAAGGGTTTAGGGTTTAGGGTGTAGGGTTTAGGGTTTAGGGTTTAGGGTTTAAATTTAGGGTTTAGGGTTTAGGGTTTAGGGTTTAAGCATCGGCCGGAGTGATGCCCAGCCGTGCTTTCAGCAAGCCGGCGTGGAAGACAAACCTGACCCACTGCATCAGGGCAGAAGCGCAGCAACCCCCCTTGCGGAGGAACTCTGGTGACAGCCTGTCGTGGTTGACATACCTGCTCCAGGCTCGGGGTTTTGGGGGTTTTGGGTCTTGGCTTTGTTGCTCTTGCAATGTGAGATACCTAATCACGAAAAAGCAAGCAGTCCCGCCGGCACTTCAGTGAGTTCTTCAAACTAACTGGGTTGCAATTGCCGGCAAAGAGGGCTGGCTGACAAATGCGACCGTTGCCACATTGCAAACCCCCCACCCGCCTACCTGGAAACCTCCCAAGCCCTGTGTAAGCCCTAAATGATTAGTAT